TAATATCAACCGCAAGTAAATATCGATAACGACCGCATCTTGAGTAAATTATTTCCAAGCAGACACCGATACCTTGTAAAAATCGAGCAAAATGTATAAATATACTAATGTCCCATGTTATTCCGCGACCGTTGTACGCCGTTTCAGTGAATATTTCAACGCCTACGGGGTCCACCGAGCCAGATTAGGCCCTTTGCGCCCCACTCCGTTCTATTTCTAGAGATGACAATACTGTGCTGCCGTGTGTAGTGTAGTGGACCCGTACAATATTTCAGGAATTCGTTATGATTATCCTGTTTATTTTTAACAGTCGTATCGATTTTGTTTTTTTCGTGTAGTCGGAATATTATAATAATAATATGTATATTCCGTATTAATTCTGAAAAAAACACAGTATTATGATAAAACTGTTTTTTCATCTCCGGTGAGAGCCATCGACAGTGAAATATAATTATTGATTTGAATGGGTTATTTTTTATACTATAATCAAAATCTGCAAAACGACATTGAAATCAGACAATGTGAAAATGCATAGGATATGCCTCTATTTCGAAAACAATAAGAGTATAGAAGTGCCGTGTTCGAGTGTTTGACATAATCGATAATTAATATCAATATATTTTGTATTTAATAATGCTTTAGTATTACCTTTAAAGCTGAGATCTACTTATAAATATTCAGATATTTAGATATTCTAATAACTTTTCTAAATGGAGAATGTCATTGTAAATTAAGTTTTATTTTTAAAATATATAAAACTTTATAATGATACGCCTGCATGTACAAATGTACAATTAATTTGCTAATGTGAATATACAAGATCACTATAATTGTCCCAGTAAATCGATTTCATATAAATATTTAAAAAAAATCAATATTGTTTAATGAGTCGCGTTTTAAGTTTTTTCCTTCATTTCGTTCGGAATAAAAAAAAATAAACATGGTACTTAAACATTTAAGATAGCCAATCTATTAGACTGGTGTGGAAAATGCTAATATAAATATTTGGTGGAAATTTTAAGGGTGTACGGTTTGTAATTTTTGGGTTAGGTATACCAAAAATATTAATTTGATTTTTAAAAAATTGGTTTTGTGTAAAAATTACTACTTTTTTCACTTTTAGATTCTGAGCGGAGCGATGATGTGTGTTTTTTGTGTTTGTCATGACCATTTGAGGAAGCTAAACTGCTTCGATTTTCAACTTCAGTATCTTGTTCGATGGGAAAGTGAATCTAGTTGGTGCATTGGGGATTTAAAAATAGTAGTTTTCAAAAGCGCCTTGAAAAACAAACAAAAATTAAGGAAAACAGGAATTTTTACAAAAAAAAGGTGTAACACTAAAAAATTGACATGCAATTTTCACTGGTTGCTTATAATAACATTTTCTATACACAATAAAATTTTCAAAAAATACTGATTTGTTATGGAACTGTTTACGGACATTTTCAGTTTCAAACTTGTTTAGTTTTTTTTCTATGAATGTCAATAAAATTGTATATTAATATTGTAAAATAGTTTGAAAATTTAATACAAGGCTCCTAATATATTGTTATAATGGCAGTTGAAAAATATTAAAAATCCATTGTCACAATTTTTTTTTATAAGCATTTAAAATTGAAATCTTACGTTATAATCACGAAAATTTGCAAATTATTTTGTATTAGAAATCCAAAAAAAATTTATTTTTAAATCTAAGATTTTAAAATGTAATACAAGATTCCACAGAAGTTATTAATCAACAAAAAAAAATGTCTGCAAGAAAGTTAAATTTAATTTTTATGAGCGTTTGAAGTTCATATTTTTACAACATTGGATATTCACTCGATTTCTCATGTAGCGATTTTCTTGTTTTGTTGTAGGTAATTCGAAAACGAATAACCGTAGACACTCGAAATTGATATCATAATATGTTTATTTTATCAATTTATATACTTAATAAATTTTTGACTCGTTTTGAGCTGTTTACGAACATATTCTGTTTACAATTGTTTTAGTTTTTTTTTCTATAAATGACAATAAAATTTTATTCGTTTGGTCAAAAAGCTTGAAAATTTAATACAAGGCTAATAATATTATTTGGTTTCAATAGCAGTTGAAATATTATATTAAAAATACATAGGCACAATTTTTTGAGCATTTAAAGTTCGATGTTTGACAACTTGTCAATGACAACATTTATCAAATTTAAAATTTAAAAATGATTTTGTAGTTAAAAATGTATAAAACGTTCAACATTTATAGCTAAGGATTAAACATTTAAAACAAAATTCTACGTAAGTAGGTTATTTTGTAACCAAAAAATCTCAAAAATATAAACACACTGTTTTTTTTTTTAATAGTTATTTTATGTTCAAATTTGAACAAAATTACATATTAAATAACCAAGAATAACGATTTTAGTTATTTTGTTGTAATTGTATAATATTAATTAAACTTACAGGCTATAATAAATAATAACAATATAAAAAATCCAGACTGACAAACCGTCTCCGCTCAGAATCGTTTTTTGTATACAATGATAGTATATCGTTGAATTCAAATTTAATACCACTCATTATACCGCATTGACCCCCTTGTAACCTACTGTACAGCAGAGCGACATCCAGGCGTATCAACTAATAAACCTTTTTGTTTATTTTTCTTGACGCATTCAAAAACTACTTGGAAATTTAAATTTTTACCTCTCAACAGTACCAACTAGGTAGATTCAATTTCGTATCAGAAAAGATTCTGATTTCAAAAATCAAAGAATTTTTACCACCCAAAACGTTTCTGATAGACAGGAAAAAAACACACATAATATCATTAGAAAATCAAATTCACTCCGCTCTGAATCTAAAATCTAAACTATTAGTTTTCATAAAATGTTCATATAATTTTGCAAGTTTTAAAGTGCATAATGCATTATACCTATTATACGCACAACTACACAAGAATGTTTTCGGGATAATAAAATAATATTATATAGTACACAATATAGTAAAATACACAAGACCTGCATTGTTGGATTGCGGTAAGTTTAAGGACAAACACGAGGAGACATCCTGTACATAAAAGCTTTTATAATCTAACCCGGCAATTAAAAAATATTTTGAACTAAAAATATAAAATGGCTGTAACTAAACTAAGAATCATTTGCTTGTTAACATTTATTATATAGTATGATTGTTCTAAAGTTAAATATTACATCTGCATACAATATAGTTCGACCTCACATGGCACTCTTCACTTTTTAATGTGTCATCTTGAAAAGAGTTATACTTAGTTGTTGAAGTCAATAATAATATTATAATCTCTTTTAATAAACATTTTTCAGATGTAGCAGTTTCCCTGTCATTAACTATGTAATTTTCAGTCTTAGATTGTTGGTGAATAATTAGAAACATAGCATATTAAAAAAAAAAAATCTTAATAAATTATAAAAACTAGGTCGATCCTCCGCAATGTCTAAGACATTTTTATTTTAAATATTTTAAGAAACTTACTCTTATGATATTAATGCTTTTCAGAAAACAATAGTTACAATTAATATAAAAATAATACAACTTAAAAATAGGTACTAGTTTTTAAATGCATTCTTACACGTTAAACTTACTTATTTTTTGTTTATTTACATTACATTAAGGGCTATGCTCAAGGTACAGTTAGAAAATATATGAACAGTAAAAACAGACATACGTTAAATATATATAATTTATAAACATAAATTTAATAGGTAATAGTCTTAAAATGTTTATTAAAAAAACTTTATGGCTCTATTTAAACTAATTATTAAAAATTCTATTACTGGATGGTTGTCCTTTCAAATCGTGCTTTTTTTCTTATAATAAAAATCATAAAAATAATATGGACGTTAAAAAACAACATATTAAGACTAAAAAAACTTTAGGGTTTTCAAAAATCACTTCACTTTATATAGTACTGTAGTACATGACACATATGTGTTTGATTTCCAATGTATTTGCTCCATATGAAAAGTGTTTTTCAAAAAAAAAATGTCCCTCTAAAAGTCTAAAGCCAAATGAATACTAATATAGGTACTTAAATATATTATTAATTATTAATTAACAGTCACATTACAATTAATAAATAAAATGTTATACTTTATATTTACTAAAAAAAAAAAATTAAATCGTTATCTTTTTTAGCAAAATCTGAACTGAGCATTGCTAATTTAATCTTTTTTTACTACAGTGGTTTATTAATTTAAATGCACTGATTTCTATTATAAAAACGTTCACTCCAGTTACCAGCCACTTAACTCTAATACTTATTACTTTATCAGTGGGCACTTTTTTATATTTACATAATGTAAGGTACCTATTATATTAGAAAGTAAATTGAAATTTTATTAAATTAGGTTTACTATTTAATCCTTTATAAATTCTATCTCAAAAAAATGTAACCCTCTATGTCCTTTTATTTAAAATTTTGAACACGAAATATTTGTATAAATAATGATACCAACCTATGTGGCCACGTGGCGTATTAATGTATTATAGTGATGATAATTGAAAACTATTTTTATAATGCTAATTGTTTGATATTTTAAAGATAAAAAAAAATAATTGATGATAGAAATAGTTTAAACAAGAATATTATAGTTAATCATTTAAAAATTAATATTAATATTATTCAATATAATGATTAATAAATATAAACATGATCGATTGTTTTTCGGTAGTTAAATGCCAATACAATTTTAACTATGCCTTTCAAGGACACAAAGTGCCGACCTCAAATGTTCAAGTTCGTTTCACTCCAGCCCTCGAAGTAAACAATTATTATTGTGGAGGGAGTAGCCCGTGAGTGGGCGTCAAAACGGGGGCTAGTACTAGTCAGACGCACAGCCTTCAGTTAAGTACGACAGCTCAGCTCGGTCCGTCCTCAGCGCTTGGGTAATCTAAAAATAGTCATATTTTTCTGGTTTCTACCTTAAGTGCGATTTCAAAGTTCTAGTGATACTGAAAAAAAATAAGTTCGTTTAAAATAGTGCAGACATGTCTTTATCCAAGACGACCAAGTCATACAGTTACCGGTCTGTAGGAGGCGGAAATGCTGACATAAATATCGACTATTCCCACGACCTCAGCGCTTTATCTCGGCTTGAAGTAAGTGAAATTTGAATAACTTGTATACTAAACTATTATAGAGTTATGAAATATCCAATCACAATTTTCCAAAATCAAAACTCACAATGTTTAGGTACCATAAAAATAGAATACATCGAATTTTCCAGGTATATATTAATCATCTTCAGCTGCCAGAAGAAGAACGAATGTTGTACGTAATGGTCAATTGAGACTATTAAATGTTTTATTCACAGATTTGAGAAACACGGAATTGAGATTAATAGATTTTTAGAGGTAGGTGGAGAGAGGTTTCTTCTTCTTGACAGTCTGAAGGAAGCACGGTGTGACGCCGCCCACCCTCCTTAGCCCTTACAATATAATAAACAATTAAATATACTGAATGTTTTGATTTGATTAACCAAATCCTGCGTTTGTTTTTCCCTTTAGGATAAGATCAGACTTCTGCAAGAAGACTTAGAATCGGAACGCGAACTCCGACAACGTGTAAGTACCTACATAATGTGGCATCGACAGAACAGAGTGTCATTTTCTATTTAACAAAGATTCACTTTAACGTTAGTTACGAATTCCGATTATCTTATAATAAATATATAGTTCATACTGCTTAAATTAAAGATAATATTATTTTGTATAAAAAATGATCAAAATCGATTTAACTAAAAATGTACCATAATACTACATAAAATATTAGTTTTAAGTTTTTAAAACGAGCTTTATTTAAAATATTTTTTGATCTATTAGGTATTTATAAATTGTGTTAAACTTTAAATAATATTTTATATATAAAAAACCCTCAAAAATCAACTGCAGATATATTTGTTGTCAAATTTCGCATTTTCTGTCAATTGAATTTTTTCAGATTTCATAAACTTTGTTACTATTTACAGTTATTTATTAACATATAATTTCGATTTTGCTATAGTTACCGATAGTAATTGGATCCAAAAATATGTGTAAACCTAAGAGTAAAATGCACGCATTCCTCTAAATAAGTCAACACTGTGTTATAAATAACAGCAGGACAGCTTAATTACCATAGTCAACGGCGGCAGGGTGAAGAAGTACTTTTCTCTATAGTTGCCAGAATTATGAGACAGTTCAAATCTATTTTCCCACCGTTTGCCATGGCAAATTACCAAGTATAAAAATGCTTAGAAATATTAACAGATCGTCGAATTCTGGCAACAGTAATTACATAATATTATAAGCTTAAGCCACCGTGAAATGCCTAAATATTGCTTTACGCTAGATTCTAAAAAAAATGATCTAATTTTAAATCTAATTAATATTTTAAGCATAGAAATTGTCAATAATATTATTATTTCAATCGATATCCATTATGCCCAATATTAAACCATAGCTATATGTAGATATACGTACGTTACCTAAAAAAATGTTTGTAATATTAATTGGATTTTAATTCGAGGATGAGTTGATAAACATTGATCATTGTGGACAATCTGGACCATCAAATATCACAGACAAAATTCCTATTACCGATATAAACACATCAATCAATAAATATGACCCGGATATAGCTGGATTTCGCTTGATCCATACAAAACCCTCTCTTCCCGATTTCTCTGGTATAAGCGGCGACTATACAACTGTCTACAGTATTATTATTCAATAATCAATAAAATAATAAATAAATATCAAGTAGGTACTAAGAAATTTTTGTAAAGATTATTATTGTAATTTATTAAAAATAATAATGCTAAAACTAAATACAAAAACCAAATTGGTTACACGTTTATCATTCAGCATATTATACAGATATAAGCCATAATTAACAAAAGTTAAATTAGTTATGAAATATTTTTACTGAAATATATTACCTACTAGAAGAAACATTATAATTAGATATAATTTTAAAAGTTAAAAATAATACTTATTTAATCACGATAAATAAACTTAAAAGTTACAACAGTTATGAAATTAAACTTTTTAAAAATGCTTTATTACTTATAACTTATACCTACTCTATTTTCAAAAAAAATAATTAATAGTTAACCAAAATTAATTATTTTTTTTTTTATAATATTTCTTCATTATTTAAATATAATAAAAAATAGCGTTGATAATATAGGTAGTATAATATTATTGTATTTATTGTTATCACTTTTAATTTCAAAGAAATTTATGAAATATCTACTGATATAGGTTAAGTCATTGTTAAAATATTTTTCTTAGACTCTTTACAAGTCGCCTACGTAAAATTCCATCATTTTGAATATTTAATAATTAAAATATTATTGATTGAAATATAGTGAATTAATGATTTACTTGATATATAAAGTCTAAACATGTCTTTGCTACACAGCTATGAAATGTCATTAATTCGATCGGAACGCCTTTTTATTTAGGCACTATTTAAATGTTTAGATTGATTATAACTCGTATGTACCACAGGTACAATAATATATTTATATCTATATTTCTATATAAATGTTTAATATTTAACATAACTGCAATCCATTTATTATTATTATAAATACCTAATCATAATATAGAAAGCGGCAGATAATACTTTCTTGAATAATAAAATATTCCCTATTAAGTGTTAAAGTAAACAGATACAGCCATACATACAGATACTTATTTTGAAAAAATTTAAAATACGTTTTTGAATACTCAGTAAAAAAAGTATTTGAGTGCAAATTCAAATACTTTAAAAAAGAGTATATTTTATAGATAGGTACTTTAAAAGTCTTTTAATTTTTTTATAAATACATGTTTTTCCGTATAAATCATCTAAATCCATTTTTATGTTTTACCTACGTCAACTTTAATATTTTATAGAACACTTTATACCGTTTCATTTGGTGTTACTTTAAAGTTTAAAATACTGATCTGTTTTCTATTTCGATGTATTTTACTACAGTAAAACAAAATATATTAGGTAGGTATTATAAATTCCCATTTTTTTTTACTTTACTTGACTAAAAATAAACAGTAAATGTATAAATTAAAAAGATTAAGTATCTTATTTTGTTTTAAATACAAATACTTTGAGAAAGTATTTAAAATACGTATATGAGTACTTACTTAAAAAGTATTTGAATACTTTTAGTCAGATCCTTTTACTCAACTACTTAGACTGCCCTACTCTGCAGTGTTTTGCGTACGTCTTATATTAATACATCTCCTAAAAAATACAGACCTATCTATATTAAGTAATTTGTTTGACCACTTTGGACATAATATAAAATGTCTATAATCATTATATTAGATTGGTGCAGATAATGCATATACTAACATCGTAATAATTACAATAATATATTTAAATGTATACCATTAAAACTATTATTGAAATTTACTTTTAGTTAGTAAACATATTGATCATACCTTATCATTATATTCAAAATTATGGATTTACAAAAGCAAAAAAAAATTATAAATTTATCTAGCCAAAACTTTACTATTGTATAGGTAGGTACAATTTGATCTTAAAACATTTTAAAATCAAAGCACCAAAATGAAAAGTAAAAATAAATTACTGTTTCACTTTTTATATAGGTACTTGAATTAATATTATTGAGACGAAGGTGAAAAAGTCTCATCATTTGTTGCATAAATATTATTTTAAACAGACAATTTTATATACATATTCATATAAGACGTAGAATATAAAATTATCTGTAAAATTTGCAATATTTTTATTAATAATATTATACATTTATACATTTATGCATACATTTTTATTTTCTAAAAATTATGCATATTTATTATTTGTAATTTTTTCATACACAATCAAATATTTAAACGGACCTACATAATTTAACTTTGCGAAACCGTAAACTGTACAGTAAGAATAATAAATCATAAATATTATTATTATGTTTAAACGATTTCCAAAATCACTATTCATTTTTTTTATTCGTTGCAAGTTAAATTTCTTTGGCACTGAGCTTTGGAAAGGTACTCTAAAAATAAGTATAAAGAAAGTGATGCTATGCCGAACGGGACGAATGAAGTGTGAACGACCACTAAGCTGACCATCCAGTTATATTTTTACAAACGGAATTTAGCCTGGTTTCATTGACATGTGTCAATCGACACGTTTGATTCACCTAACCGAACTTAAATGTTTATTTTTGAATTTTGGCGAGTACCTACCTGAAATATATTAGAAATGAAAACCAAGTATCTCAAATAAACAAATCTTTGTTGATAACACAATACTAAAAATATAGCGGTATTATATTAATTCAATACTAATTAAAATATGTGTAATATAAATATTACAATATTATCATATGTTAATAATAAAAAACTATACATTTTTATTATTCAGATTGAAAGAGAAAAAGCTGATGTGAGTGTGCAATTAATATCTCTCAGTGAACGTTTGGAAGAAGCTGAAGGCGGTGCCGATAATCAAGTATGTTATCATAATTTATGAGAATAAAATACCTATGATTTTTTTAATAATTATTATTTTTGTATTCTTTGTGAATAAACAGTTTGAAATTAATAAGAAACGTGACACAGAACTTACTAAGCTCCGTAAACTATTGGAAGATGTCCATATTGAATCTGAAGAAACAGCTCATCTTTTGCGTAAAAAGCATCAAGAGGTCGTCGCTGACTTCCAAGAACAGCTGGATCAACTCGCCAAAGCAAAAGCTAGGTAAATAAAACCCAATAATGTGTCACAAATTATTAAATTAGCATATTATATAAATATATCTATTTCCAGGACCGAAAAAGAAAAGGCTAAATTCCAACAAGAAGTTTACGAACTTTTGGCCCAAATTGAAAGTGCTAACAAGGATAAAGTAATAATCCAAAATTAAAATTAAAAAAAAAACAAACATATATCATTTTTGTTTATTATTTCAGTACACTTCGATTAAGACAATTGAAAAACTAGAGATCACTATTCATGAACTTAACATTCGCATTGAAGAAATTACAAGATCTGTCACTGAAATCACTTCGATCAAGAGCCGTTTGTCAATTGTTAGAACATACTATTATCAACAATTATAATCGTTGATAAAACTTAAAAATGATTATGATTTTAGGAAAATATTGAATTGGTTAAAGAAGTTCAAGATTTAAAAGTATCAATTGAGAACACTACATATCTTAAGTCTCAAATTGCTGGACAATTAGAAGACGCTCGCAGACGACTAGAAGATGATGAAAGAGTATGAACATTTTTTTAATATTCAAATGATATTTTAATACGTTTACTAATTATAATAATATTACAGAGACGCTCACTTTTAGAATCTAACTTACATTCAGTAGAAGTTGAATTAGAATCAGTAAGAGTTCAAATGGAAGAAGAATCTGAGGCTCGTTTAGACCTCGAGAGACAATTAATCAAGGCTAATGGTGAATCTCTAGCATGGAAATCGAAATATGATTCTGAAGCATCTGCTAGGGCCGAGGAAGTTGAAGAGCTACGGTAATTCAAATTACAAAAAAAAAATTAATAAATAATTATAAATAAAGCTTTTTTGTTATAATATTTTTCTAGTCGTAAATACTCCGCACGTATCCAAGAACAGGAGGAACATATCGAAACACTTTTGGTTAAAGTCAACAATTTGGAGAAACAGAAGTCTAGGCTCCAAAGTGAAGTTGAAGTTCTTATTATTGATTTGGAAAAGGTTTTTAAATTTTTTTTTGATTTTAAAGCTTAAACATTTAATTTAAATGAAATAATAACATATTGGTTACTTAGGCTAACAACACTGCAAGAGATTTGCAAAAACGTGTTGAGCATTTGGAAAGAGTCAACATTGACTTGAAGAGTCGCCTTGACGAGACAACTGCATTGTTTGAACAAGGACAACGGGACTTGAGAAACAAACAAAATGAAATTCAAAGATTAACCCACGAATTGGACAAAACCAGGGAACAAAAGGATCAACTTACTCGTGAAAACAAGAAATTGGCTGGTATGTTATTATTTTTACAAGATATTTAGATTACAATATAATTAATTTTATAAAATTTAATTTAATTTAATTTAGACGATCTACACGACGCCAAGAACACTATTGCTGAATACAACAGAAGATTGCACGAGTTAGAATTAGAACTCAGACGGTTGGAGAACGAACGTGATGAACTTAGCGCTGCTTACAAAGAAGCCGAAGCTGTATGTATTCCATTTAAATGTTGAACAGTGGGTGTTGTATAAAAGGATTCAATGTTGGTATATAGGGAAGAAAAGCTGAGGAAGGTAGATCATTCAGATTGTCTGCTGAACTTACACAATTCAGACATGAAGCTGAAAAACGTTTGGCCGAAAAAGATGAAGAAATTGAATCTATTCGGTAAGATTTTTAAACTCAATTGAATGTCTTAATGTACCATTTAAATTTTATGAAAATAACTAAGATAATAATCATAAAAAAAAAAATATTAAGTTTGGAAAAATCACATATAATATCTATAAACGTAATAATAAAAATAATAATAATAAAATAAATATATAGAACTATATAGTATAATACTATTATAATATGTAACATAACTATACAGTATGTTATAAATATTATATTGATATATTGTATGTATATCAATGATCTACTGTTAGTGTGAATAAGGTAATATAAAATAATAAATCGTAAAATAGTAGTTAGGTAAATAAATAAATACAAAATCAGAGATAAATATAATTTTAGCATTAATTTGGTACACAATTAAGTACCTACCTAGGTACCTACCTAAGTAATAAAAAAATGTATATAAATATAAATTATATACCAATATAGGTAATATTATGATAATATAATGATATATAAATATTATAATATAATACTAGCTTATCCTGCATGGTGTTACTGACAAAATTAAATAATGCTCGAGGACTCACCTTGTCTTGATAACTTCTTTAATAATTTAAATTTTAAACTACACATATTTTTAACACAGTCGTTGGTTTTTACCAAATATAAAATACTGCAGGTCTAAAATTATATCCAATTATAACAATTATTATATTTACTGTAAATGTGGGTTTCCACTACATACGTAGTGTGAGTGTACCTAAGTGCATAAAATTACTTTTCTGTGATTGGTTGGTATATACACGGTAAGCCTTTGGTATACCACAGTGTTATACGTTCTTACCACAGGTTTAACCAAGATACCATGAATTTGGATCCAGTTCAACATTTTACGTGTACACGGCTGTATATTGATAACAATATTGATAACATAAGAATATATGAGGTAACTAATATATTATCAATCCTAACCGAGTTGACCGATGGGAAACATTTGTGAGGCCGTTCATCCGGTCAATATATGCACTCACACGTACACGTATGTAGTGGAAACCCACCTTAACCAATGACAACTCTATATCAGTGGTGGATCCATAAATGAATCAAGGGTTGGGGAATATTCAAAATTCGTTAAATAAATATCAAAAAAGTTCTATTAATTTAACAAGATTCAATATAATAAGCTCGCAGAGTGTTGGGAAATTTACCCCCATTACCTTCCTTGGATCCACCAATGCCTATTACAAAAAAAATCATTTTTTGTGAGATAACAAATACGAAATACGTGTGTGATCCCCTATTTAAAAAATGACTTCAAGCCTCAAGGTACTATACCTATAGGATTAACTATGTACCAAATTTCAGAACCATGGTTCATGAGTGCTCCAGAATTGGCTGTGGGTTCGCTTTCACACACACACGCACACACATACACATATTATTGTATTTTATTAATATATACTAATATACTATATAGGTACCTAATATAATAAATCTAAATAAGTACCTACAGGTAGGTATTATCTCTTATTGAGTTGATAGAATGTTTAAATCTGCTGTATTAATCCAAAAAATATCAGAAATTAAATCATGCAGAATATTAGATACAGATATATCTTAGTGATTTTTACAATTGATTTTATATTGGTAAATTCAACATCTTAGCAGTTACGTAATACGTACTATCAAAATAGTAAATACTATAATAGTATAATACCAGAATACCATGACACATTGAGAACTTTTGAGAATATTTCTTTAGAATGTGCCTTCATTGATATTAATTTGACTTTCTTAAAGGCATGAAGGTTACTTTTTTTTAAATAAAAGGTTAGGTACATAATCATTATATTTTATTTTTAAAGACCAGGTAGGTACCGTATTTTACCCCAAACAAGTTTTGGTAAATCGCACACTTAACCACTAGACAGGTGCGTAACTAAGATTTATTTTAGGTGGATGTATGTCTTAATTTTATATTAAAATACGACACGTGGGGGGACTTTATACACGCTATCTATTGTAGTCACCACGACCCCACTCACTAGTCGTCAATCTTCATATTAATAATATGAACAATGAAATAGAACCATATTACAGTGGCGTAATTAAGAATTTAGTTTGGGGGGGGGATATATGTTTTTAGCAAACATTAATAGTCATTACCAATACTTTGATCAAAATGTTAGAACTAAAAAAAAGTTTTATATTACGCCCCTGCCATATTACAACATATTTTGGAGAAATCTTAATCACTTAGGTACCTATATAGTAAATATATATTTTTTGCATTATTACAGACTATTAGGGATTTTTCAACAGCCAAACCATCCCCTGACTACACCACTGCCAATATTTTTTAAAATTTTTTTCCAATTAGCTTAAATATTTGTTAGTTAATAATTGATCATGTCTTAAGTCAACCAAATAAATTATGTGTCAGGTTTAGCCAAAAAGCCTATAGCACTTTAAAAATTATAATCTAATTATTAAATTAATCACCACATATACCTACGATAGGTAATACATTTAGGTATAATTATTTTTTTAAATGTATACTACCCAAAGTTTCCACCATTATAAATGTATAACTACCTATTTAATATAAAACAAAGTGCCTATTATAATATATAGTATATATACCTATTAATAAAGCATTGACCTACTTTTAGCTCAACAAAAAAACATTTTGGCACTAATTCAAATAATTGAATAACTTCCAAAATTATAATATGACTCATAAATTTGTTTAATTTTTAATATATTGTTTAATATGTGTCTAAATTCTAAAATCGAAAGCATGAAAAAAGAAAAACAAGTTTATTTTATTTAACAAAAAAAACTTCATTAGTAATTTAGTGATTTCCCCCCCTTTGATATTTCAATTGAGAATATAAAATATACCTATTAAACAGAAAAAGTAGCATATTGTTTAATGGTATATTTCGTAAATATAATGTTATGTTTTTCATAGTGATAATTAAGGCTCGGAAGTTATCGGACTAAAAATCTTTGAAAATCGATTGCATTATTATAGTAAAAAATACCCTTAATTGCAATTAAACATTTTTTATATGGTTTTAAGAAATATTTATGTGATAATGTTTTGTTTATTTTTTATCAAAAAATGACATTAAGTACAATTAAATATAACATATTACAAAATAAAAATGGCAATTAAATGTGGCTGGGTTAATCAGTTTTTTATGTTGTCTAACTTACTATGTATCTTCATATACTCGAATTTCACATAACTTAAAAAAAAGAATGGACCCGTCACTTGAAAATACATTAATGACTCAAAGCATAGCAGTAAAATCATGTTTCGTAATAGGCACTAAATTCTTAAACTAATTATTAAATACCTACGCGACATGAACTATAATTACAAACATATACTGATATTATGAAATTACTTTGATGCCGAATTTTAAAAGGGGATTTCATTAATTATACCTAATCACTGACGTTATACTAAATATAGAAAAATTAAATTATACCATAAAAAAATAAAATCTCAGACTATTTTATCTCCTCTTAAGGATTAGGAGGTACCTACCTATATTATTATTTAATTTTAATTATAATAGTAAATCAATCCCCATCGTATAAATGGATATTATGTAATACCTTTAAAACTCTAATATTATTTTTGGTTTTAATAAATAACAGTGTGATATACAATATATTACATCAATACGTGTTCAAGGGAAAATATATGTACCCAACAGATTTTTATGTAGTGTGCTTTTTAAACTTGGTGCTTTGTTGAGCTTAGAACAAATTAATAGCGATTTTTCATCAGGGCGTTTGTCTACCTAGTTAGGTGAAACGATGTCACTGTTTTCCTTATTTAAATAATAAATAGAAAGATATGCATTAAAGTTATGATAATATCTATGTTGCCACTTGTAGCTCACCATTATTGACTATTCTCCTCTTAAGTAGGTATCAAATATTAAATAATACGAGATAATATTATACAAACATAAAAATTAATGAAAATTTAATTTATAAGTAGGTAGGTATTGCTTATTTTATCGACATCATAATATTTGGCTCAAAAGTAATAATTAATTGTCTTTAAGTGACATTGACCTATTTCTCAATTGTGAAATATTTACTTAAATCATCCAACATAATCATAGTTATTCGATTTTTCCATTATTTTCTAGTTTATATCTTATTGTTGTTATAAAAAACGTATTAAAAAAGTTATACAGTAGTTTAACTACTGTATATGAACTTAAGTTATCAGTGAAAAGTTGAATACTATATTTTGAATATCTATTACTGGGTATTAGTATATATACTAAACAAAACTCGAATTGTTTTTAGATTTAAAACCTAAAAACTAAAAATATCATGTATATGTACTCGAAGTAATCACTGAATGTAAATAGCATTAAACTAGGAAGAATGTACCAAAAAAACTTCTTTAAGTGTTTTTAATGGAATTTCATTGTGAAAGAATGTTGAACATGCCAACGACGTCTGTATGGGAAAAAAATAAAGCTAAATAGAAGCTTTCGTGTATAAATCGACATTGGCTCAGTCTGAAGACCTTCGATCTGCTTTATAAATATACCCGATCGACATTGCCCAGCATTCATAAAAATAAATCAGTTATTATTGACGATCGGTAGTGAACGTAACCCATTCCTCCTAGATTAACGTTGTATTCGTGTTCAATCTTCGTAAAAAAATGTCCAAAAGCTTCCGGGGTAGGTCGGCTAAGAGCATCGAAGCTACATTGCTGAGTAACGCACACAAAAATATTGCTGAAGATTTAATATTAACAAAGGTATCGACAAAAGAAAACTACAGAGGCGAAATGAAAATTAAAAGAAAAACCATTTTCGATTTAACCCATACATATAACTCTTTGGACGAGACCAAAATGCTACAACCTCTACACGAAATCTCTAATGAACTCCGGAAGTTCGAGGCTAAAAGTTCTAATTATTTTGAAGATGGAAGGTATTACCTAATTAAAAATTCGACAAATCTATTTTTTTTCTATTGTTATGTATTAGATACACATATATTATTTAAATTGTATTAATGATGTACATGGATATTTATTTTCAGCAAGCAAACAAGCATCGAAATTGAACAACTGAGTGCTCGCGTAGTTGAAGCCGAGACAAAATTGAAGACCGAAGTGACGAGAATTAAGAAGAAGCTGCACATTCAGATAACTGAATTGGAAATGTCATTAGATGTGGCCAACAAAAATAACATTGAGCTACAAAAAACTATCAAAAAGCAATCTCTCCACTTAACGGTAAAATTGATTTTAAAATTAAAAATAAAAACTATATAAACGTCATTAGGTAGGTAATAAATTGTCCCTTGCGTCTTCACTGTTAACATAAAGTAATAACTATCTATTGATTGATCATTGCAATAAGAAGTAGGTAGGTATACTAACTTTGTAGTTTGTAATTTGCACCAAAATAAGAATATGTATGTAATTTGCACCACAATCGTATTATAGACTATAGTCGAAAATAGTGTTTGTAATTTCCGCTTAAATTATATACTATCTATATAGTTGATCGTTAAGTATTCGATTACTTCGTCGGTACGCTATACGAGACTTGACAGGGTCGAACAGTTAAATTACAGTAATAATTTTTCGGAATTTTTAACTACCTTATGTGTTAGGTACCTAAATACCTAATCATTCGAAAAATTGACATCCGATCCGTCGTATAGGTATTACCTACATATTTTATTATATTATTAATTTTTATAATATTACATATTTAAATATGTTCTTCATATATTATTGTTAATAGCTATGTATACCTAGCTTTAAAGTCAATACTGACAGTGACGTACCGTAGTCCGTAGAACGGTGTGAATATGTTAGTAAAATAACGGGTCAGAATCTAAAATGGAATATCCTGTGCCATTAATACTTATTACTTATTATAGCTTAATATCTTCTCATATCCCAATATCTCATACTTTACTATCGAAACGTATAAGTACTAGGTATCGAAAGAATAATCGATATGAATTTTAGTGCAAATGACAAACACATTTCAAAAATGTTGGTGCAAATTATTTGGTATAACAATAAATTATGTTATATATATTTTTGGAAAATGTTGGTGCAAATTGACTACAACCCCCAAACCATGTTTTATGATTCAATATTTTAAATAAAAATACATATCTATATATTACTTTTATATTTTATCCCTCCAAATTTATTATAATTTCATATTTAGTTGAAACTTGTATATAAAATTAGTTATTATTTATATTATTAAATAGGAATTGCAAGCTCACTACGACGAAGGTCAACGCCAGTTGGCTGTTACATTGGATCAATTGGCCATTGCTCAGCGCAAGATCCAATCTCTTACTGGAGAAATGGAAGAACTCCGTGGAAACTACGACGCTGTAAGTGTAAAACATAAATCTATAGCCAAAAACGTTCAACAGAAATTCTACAAACAAAGTACAAAATTTTAATTTATACCTATGTATTTTAGACATTGCGCAACAAACGTGCCATTGAAATTATGTATGAAGAATCACAGAGCCGTGTTAACGAATTGACCACTATCAACGTTAACTTGTCGTCATCCAGATCTAAGATTGAACAAGAACTACACCAATTGGTATCAGACTACGAAGAAGTATCTAAGGAGTTGAGAGTGAGTTTTCACTTTTCTTCTAAGTCAAATCGTAATCATAATGTAATTAATTGATTTATTGTCCTTGTTCTAAAGATATCAGATGAACGTTACCAACGGGTGCAAATTGAAATGAAACACACCGTAGAAGTATTGCACGAAGAACAAGAGAGAGTGATTAAGATCGAAGCCATCAAGAAGTCGTTGGAAATCGAAGTCAAGAATATTTCTGTTCGTCTCGAAGAAGTCGAAGCCAACGCTATTGTGGGTGGCAAACGCATTATTGGCAAATTAGAAGCCAGAGTGAGTAATTGTTTACGATGATAATTTAACTATAAATTTAATATTTTACTCACACGGGCAATGACTTTTTTTTTTTTTGAACAGATTCGCGACTTGGAATTAGAAATCGACGAAGAAAAACGTCGTCACGCCGAGAGCATTAAGATCCTGCGCAAGAAGGAACGTTCTCTCAAGGAGCTGGTCATCCAAAGCGAAGAAGACCATAAGAACGTGCAGCTCTTACAAGAAGCTTTAGACAAAGTCAACCAGAAGGTCAACATTTACAAGAGGCAATTACAAGAACAGGTTTGTTAAACATACCTCTATAGGTACACGCGCGTGCGGTAAATCACCAGTCAATTGTTGTTTTTTCGTCTACAGGAAGGTATGAGCACCCAGAGTGTAACTCGAGTGAGGCGATTCCAGAGAGAATTGGAAGCAGCCGAAGACAGAGCCGATACTGCTGAAAGCAATCTGTCTTTGATCCGCGCCAAGCACAGGAGCTTCGTGACAACCTCACACCCAGGCTCTCAAGTGTATGTTGTGCAAGAATCGAGGGCTACAACTACGTCTTCAGAACAATATTAATTCGTTTAATAACAATGATTTTCTGTTTTTATTAATGTAACATTTATTTTTTTTTTAATAATCGACCGAAATAGGCTACACATATTCCACGTGACGCAAATCGTTTTAGCTTTTACCATCACTCTTCGAAAAACACTTTCTCGACCGTTTTGTGTTTAGTATATTCTCAAAAGTACCTACTTTAACTAAACACGACAAATTATTCATCAGAAAAAAAAAATAAATGTAATACAATGAAATATAAATGCTTTTAAAATATTATGTATCACTATCTTGAAGTTGGACAAGCTGGAAAATATCATTACGATCAGTAGACCTACTTTTGGTTATTTATGAATTTCATTCAATATAATACGTATTTCATATGTCTACATCAATAAAACAAATTAATAAAATAATTTAAAATGGTTAATTTATTATTGTCTTACTGTAGGTATAAGTACCAACAGTTACCTCCTCAGCGGCTCAGCCTGTACTGTAACTTGTAAGTTTCATGTACCTACTTATATTGTTTAGGTGTACATTTAGGTATAAGTGTATATTTGTATAACAGTGCACGGTACGCTTTCAAATTATTGAAAAAGTCGAGTTGTGAAGTATAGCATATTGTTCCGAAATTGTTTTTAACTCAATAAGATCTGTCTTTCGCTTTTCATATTATATTTTATTCATTGGCTATCGTCCAACGTCATTGGCACAACTTAGAGTACTTGTCTTTACGGGTCTCAAATTTATCGATTAAGTAGGCGAAGATCAATCATGTAAAATATTTGGGAGGGGGGGGGCGTAACTGCGTAAGTATTTGGTAGCAAACAGATTCTTGGGGCCTTATCAATAGTCACTACACTGTCTATACTCCCATCTGTCTGGTCGTTACAATATTTTACTTTTTCGTAGAACATTTTGTTTGGTATTTTAACGAAATTGACCAAACTGAACAGATAATCGAATATTTTATAGAACTGGAACATTATATGTCAAAGCTCTGCAAAAGTTCAATTAGAGTTGTTTCCATATTAGATTTTAAGATTTTAGAAGCAAACTAAACATCTAAATTCAATAAAAAATGTATGCCATATCCATTCAAAACTTAATAAAATCAAGTTTTATTAATTTTTTTTTCGTTGATAAATTAATTGTAAATTTGATTTTTAGACAAATTTTAGAGCTAAATTTATTTTAAACGTAGGTTATAACTTTTTCAAAATATTCTACGTAGGTATATTTCTTAAATAAGATATAATATTTTATTATCCATTTATCCATATAATTTTCATGATTGTTGCCATACTGTTTAACTAGTAACAATTTTATTTTATTTTATTTTTTTTATTTAAATTAAGCCTCGGCAACAATGGCCATTGGCAACAATGAGTTTAACTCTAAATTATTTACATGTTATATAATTTACATATTAAATACTATTGAATATTGATAAGGTTGGACTTAGTAAAAAAGGTTATTATGAGTCTTTTGCTGTCTGGGTGGAGGGCTTCTGACAGAATGTTTGAGATGCCTGCTTCCCAATTTTATTTTTATTTGTCAGGTCTTTCTGTTACACCCTATATTCACCCAAAAACGTGTAGACAAAATGAAAAAAGGGTGGGATTAAGTCAGCACTTTATAATAATGTAGGTAAAATTTACAAATCCCATAAAAAACATTTTTGATTTACAAAAATAAACTAAAATCATTACTCTTCGTTTAAATATTTAATTTCAAACTTATTACATTTTTAACTCAATAAATCTATAAAAAAATTCAGTCTATGTATCTTTAATATTTTTAAATAGCTTTAATAACAACTTTAAAAAAACTTTATATAACATTTTATAGGTTTTTGATTGAGTACAATTATTTTTTTCTATTGATACCTATTTTAAAAAAACAACTAAAAAGTCAAAAAGTCCAATGTCTACAAATAACTCAAAAAGATTAAAAAAAAAAAGTTTGAAAATTATATCAAGTAGGTATCAAGAAAATGCTTATAGGTACTATCATTTGGTGTAAATGTTAAGTATTTACGGTTAATTGTCTTTAAATTACCTACACGAAAATAAGAAAATCTTATGAATATTTTAGAAAACTTAAATAAGATAATCTTATTCTTTGTTGAAAACTAGTCTTGCGCAAGGTCTTGTAAGCACCTTATGGGTTTCGACTCATATACTAACTGAAAATGATCAAAAATACATAGCTGGTAACCACAGGTAGTCACAATATTTTTTTATAAGCGTTTAAAATTCATAAAATTTACTATTAGTTTGTAGTAAAAGATTTATAAATTATAACAATTTTAATATTTATGCTTACACCTATTAGGTCTGAACATTTAAGACATATACCTAAGTTTTTCTTACATAAGTTATAATATTATTAATATTATTAAACAATTTAACAATTATTTTTTATGAGTATACTCGGCATAGGCATGAAAATGTTAAAATTATTTTGTAATTAAATTCTAAGAAAATATTCAATTTTTATAGCCTAAGCAATTTAATACAAGGTTTTTTAATTAAGATTTTTACTGAAACCAAAAAATATAAAAAATATAAATTAAATAACATTATTTCTTATATAGACATTTTAAGTTAAAATTTGGACAAAATTCAATATTTAAACGGACAATTCCAAAATATTATTCATCGGGATTAAAAACTTTTATGATGTATATCATTATACAGTTTATATAGGTACACAATGACATTTTCAAAACATTTAGATTAATTTTAAGCTATTGCCTATTTATACCACGAGGCACAAATATATTAATACTGTACTAAAGTAAGTCGGTATTGATTCAAAATTTAATTACAATAATATATTATACAAATATTGAAATATATACTATTTAAAATTTTAATAATTAAATATTAATAACGTCATAATAAAATATGCGGTGTTTTTGACAGAAATTAATTCAACCTAACAGTATTAATAATAAAATAAATTACTATAATAGCAATATAAATATATCATAAAATATACTTAGGCTGTCAATCAACAGACCATTGTCATTCTTCACTCAGAATAGTTTTTTGTATGCTAAGATCTATCATTCAAATTCAAATTTAAGTTTTAACACATATTATATTGCTTACAATGACATTACAACAAGCTATACTCGAGTCTCGATACCTAATGTACGATAGAGTAGTTACCTACTTTCCCCTTTCACAATTTTTATCTTTTTTTATTCTTTTGTATCTCTCCATAAGAGTGTAAAAATAGAAAACAAAATTTCCCATAACAGAATATATGGGTGCTTAGTTACTTAGTAAAAATTAACATAAAATTATTTTTATATTTAGCTTCCTTTCTGAAAACAGGATATTTTACTGTTCCAACAATAAACCCAGGACAATGGGTCAGAGAATTGATAAATGGAATATAGTCACATTAGACATACATAATATTATGGTGTAGGTAGAATATACAAACTATGTATTTCACATAAAAGATGTATAATGAGTATTTAATGACAATATAATATAGTATAATTATTTATTTATTGTATAAACATGTAAATTTTGAGTTTCTGAGAATTTTAAGTTTTGTTTACTACAGTAATACACGAAAATTAACGAGTGTTCAAGGAAAATTTAACACACAAAACATACATTTTATTCACAAAATTGTTGCTTTGATCAATTCTAAATGGTATTAAGTTACCTATTGCATCAAACTCATAAGAAAACAACAATAATGTATTCACATATTTAAATTACTGATTAGCGTTGATTATTTCAACAAATTCTGGTTTTAAGGATGCACCTCCAACCAAAAATCCATCAATGTCGCATTCTTTAGCTAATTCTCGGCAATTAGATGATGTCACAGATCCACCATAAATGATGCGTGTAGTCTTGGCAACAGTTTCACTTACTTCATCACATAGCCATTTTCTCAAAATTTTATGGACATCTTGGGCCTGGTTAAAATATATATAATATAAGTAAGTACACAATAAAATCACTAGAGATATGTTTAACAACTTACTTGTTGAGGGCTAGCAGTCTTACCAGTACCAATGGCCCAGACTGGTTCGTAAGCAATAACTACATTTTGCCAATTGCATATTTTCTCTTTTATAGCTTTAATTTGCTTAGCTACAACCGCTTCAGTTTGTCCAGCTTCACGTTCTTCAAGAGTTTCACCAATACATGCGACAACAGATAATCCAGACTCAAGAGCATGATTTACTTTTTCAGCAATGAGCTATTCAAACATTTAAAACAATTTAGTATCAAACCAAGGTTTTTCACTGAGGGAGAACCCCACTCATAGTCATACCTAATATTTAAATCATGAATATTTATTTAAAACCAAATTTACTATTAGAATTTAGGTAATAAAGAAAATTATTTTTCCAAAAATAATTATGTAGTTATTGCGTCAATAACCATAGATAAAATAAAAATAACAAATTATGTTTTTAAACTAACTAATTAATTAAGTTTATCTTTAATGTTTTGATTTATTTAAAATGTGTAAGCAATAGAAAACTTTATAACAAATTATTTTTCAAGACGTAAAAATAAAATAATTCCTTCTCAAATACAACAGATCAAAATAACATTCACATGTAAAACTTAATTGGTGAAATCTCAAGATCACATGCTAAGATTTTTGGAAGTACATAAAACTACTTTTTTTATTAAACATGTTTTTAATGTTGATTATTATTTATTCAACTAATAGACTATGATCTAAAGCTTTTTTGTTTTATTTTTTTGTGAGTATTTAATAATAGGTACATCATGTTTGTCTGTACTAAAACAAGATCGTTTATTATGATCAGAAGCAAATAAACTAACATTAGAATTTAGACTATAGTCCAATAATCGAATTGAAAACATTTACATGTAAAAACTAAAAGTGTATACCACATTAATTCTTGGCACTTATTGTACCTACATTTATATTATATCATAATTTGTAAAATACTAATACTTTTATATTTTTATTTATTGGTAAATAAACTAAAAACGTAAAATAAACTATAAAAATTAAAAACATTTTTAACCATACCCTTGGACTAAATAGATCATAGACTAACCTAACTCCTAAATCTGTTAAAATAGGAAGAAATAAGGTTGGTATAGTGTAGTACATACCAAAAAAATTTTAGGAACCCAACTAGTGTAGTATCTGCTATTAGCCCGTAGTGGAACATATGCACTTCACCACGCCCCTTAGATAGTCCTTACAAATTTCAAATTTTTTTTTTAACATTTGTTTTTAAACTCTGATTTTGAAACAGTTTGATTTTTTTGTGAAAACTATTATTAAAGAAATTACCTATAACAAAATAACTTTGTGTCGAAGGTAAAACATATTTTCCAAAAAAAAAAACATTATGTTTGGCACTCGCATGGCGTCATCGCTACGCTCTGCCAACCGAAAATATCCATCAGTTTGTTATAAAAAACTACGTCAAATGAGACTTGAAAAATAACTTTAAAAATATATATATAAGATATAAGATATTGTGAATGCTCTCATCCAAGAACAAAAAATTGGCCGTGTGTAGAAGTAGAAGAAAATGGAAACAACCTACCTACTTAAGGTCAGTTTTTACTTTTCAATTTAATTCAATACTTACAGTATCAGTTTCTTGAAATATCTGCCGACGTTCAGAGTGACCTAAAATCACCCAGTCAATACCAATATCTTTCAACATACTGGGGCTTATCTCTCCAGTAAACGCGCCCTTTTCAGTCTTATAACAATTCTGTGCTGCAACATATATGTTACATGGCGCTTTTTCTTTGACAAAATCCAAGTATATGGCTGGTACTCCAATCAAAACCTCTTTAAAAACAACAAAAGTGTTCAAGTAACTATAGGTATACACATCTCAATGTGTTAGGCATTGTCATTAACTTACCAACATTAGGGTCCAAAGGCCCCTTTACTAAATTGCTGAGTAGTTCATCAGCGACTTTCTTCGTGCCGTTCATCTTCCAGTTTCCTCCAACAAAGAATTTTCGTGACATGTTTGCCGTTGAGAAAAAGGATCTAGAGAGGAAAATAGATTAAGGAATGAAAGCGAAAATTGAGAGAAATGTAGAGGACGAGAATCGATGAGCAATGGACGCTGCTACGGCCTACGCCCTGCGTGGAAATGAACTGATGAAGTGACGAACGCCAAATGCCGACCGTCAAAACTATTTTGTGGTCAAATGGAAGTTTTCAAATTGATGTTGATGATACGAGCCGTGATAAAGCGTAGGACATACTCATGACCTCTAATGTGGAACTTGGATCGTAAAAAATGAAATAATCGAATATAATATTTTGACGAGTCAAATTGATAACTATATTATGATAACTGATGATACGTTATCGTTATTTGTATCAATGAGTGTTGTTGTTGCTTGGCGCTTGCTACTATAAAATGTATCGTTTAAACTTGGAATTTTAAAATACAATATTTCTCCGCTCTCGTTAATACTTAATTCATTTTTTTTTTTTTTTTACTAATCTATAGTAAATACTAATTAAATAGGTTATTGACACTAGTGCCTTAATGTTATAGTATTAAAGTACTATAGTGTTTAGCTGTATTATTTATTCTCGAGTGAGTATGTAATATTATAATATTATTATGTATAATTGACAATTGTATAATAAGAGCAGGATTAAGACATTTTACGCCTCGAGGGCAATAATTGCACCTCTTTGCTATTTACCGCCCTATGCCCTTATAGTTTGATATTTTTACATTAAATTCGAGCTTATTTTCTAGTATTAAAATAAAAATATAATATATAATACTAGGTGTATCGACTAAAATACACAATACACAATATTAAATAAAGAGGAATTAATAAAAAAAAACTGTTTCAAAACATAAGCTCCTTTTAATCCGCCCCTGTATATAATGGTTACTTAGGTCATAACGGGATATCATAAACTCATAACACTTGATAAGTCTTATAACAGTCATCGAAAAATAATAATAATAATAATAATAATGGTATTCGTTTAGTATGTGGTCTACTGAGTGAAAATCGAGTTTAGTATGTGACCTACCAAGGCGATTATCTATATTATGAACGGGCTAAGTACGGATATCAATCTATTAACAGATAAGATACATCTTTTAAATTTAAGTAATATACAAAAAGTGTGCTGCTGAAAATATTTTAAAAATAAAATAAAATTTTTTTATAACAACATAATTTTATGACATTTTTGAATAGTTTTAAAGTTTAGCTGATATCACATTACAATACCTATGTATACTCATATATTTTTTTTAAACTTATATTTTATTTGACTCATTTTGACATTGTTAAGTGTAATCCTGTATTATTATATATGTGTATTACTAATGTATTAATTAAATAGTTATTAAATAAATTATTGGTAGTAAGTCACATACTAAACAAATACCATAATAATAATACAACCATTGATTTTAAAATATACTTTACTTTTAAGTATATTTTAAAATAATAAAATCAATGATACATTCAAAATTATAAAAATTATGTTTCTATTTGGGTAATAATCGATATTTAACTTATGTGTATGTTGTATAAGTATATAATCAGTATTATTCCTAAATTTTTATATAAGGTGGTAGGTGTACAAGTCGATATGATTTTCTTAATCTAAGACACTCGTTATTTAAAAACTACTTAGGTAGGTACATTATTAAAAATATTTTTTTGGCATTATTTGATGCTTGTTAAATTTATCTCCAGAGCAGAATATTACTCATGTTGTCATTCAAAAAAGTACTGAGTAGATTTTATTCACAAAAATGTAATTATTTAATTAGGTTCAATTATTATGTTAAAAAAAATCGTTTTCAAAATAATGTGTCATATTATGTTAATAAATCATCTTGTATATAAAATCTATCAACTATTTTCAAGAGAGACAAAAAAAATGTTAAACTAGTTAAAACAATTGAGTTACCTGTAAGAAAATAAATTTTTATTGAGATTTTTCTTTATTCTCACTTATATAAAGTTTTTAAATGTTTATAACACCTTTTAGGTCATACCAATACTTTAAAATTAAAACACAAAATGTTTGTCTTGAAAAGAAATTTCATTAAAGTTCAAGTTCATTTATATAGAAAAAGAATTGTAATACACTGTTTAAAGTTCTATGACTGCATTATTATATGGAAATATATGGTAAAAAATAAAAGTAAATAATTTACAAAAATATCATGTTATAACTTATAGAACTTACCTTTTAAAACAATTCAGTAGGTTTGCTGACATTATTTTGTTGAAAATTAAGTAAAATTACTGATCTAATTTGCAAAGTACTGTGGCCATTGAGTAATAAAAAAAAACCAGGGATAATACACAAACATGGAAAAATATATGAAAATAACAGTGCTGTAATTAGGGGAGCAAAAAAGCAACTTTTACCCGCAAACAATTTTAAAAGAATAAAATAAACTTTTTTGACTATCAATTGGAAATAAAAATTTACTATTATTCAATTAATATTTGATACCGAAAAAAAAATTTAGTCTAATAGGTATTTAGGTAATACACAATATTTTTTTTATAAGACATCAAAAACCTTACTTTTCTCTTTATTATTTTCAGTTATATCTATTACATATTGTACACAATTCAATGTTTTGATCTTCAAATAACTCATGGCAAATAATCCTGTAGACGAATTATCTCAAAGAGAAGAAAAAAAACATGTGTTCAAAGACTCAACTTTTGACGTAAGTAATCAAATTAAATACCCTAAATTATTATTTTGATTTTTGTTTAATTTGAATTATTTACATTCAGAAATCTAAAACTAGAGATCCAAAACACATTTGTTATTATTTAAGTTGTTTAAATACAGTATACACTAAATGATTTACAATATAAATATACAATATTATAGTTGACATACCTATTCAATACTTTTTATAACTTTAATAATAATTATAAAAAAACCCATATACTATGACATTTAATTTAAATTTATTATTTTTGGAATTGAATATTGAAAAAGTGGTTAAGTGATTATTGCTCTGATATCATGCACACTAGGTGTCTAAAGAGTCACTGTAATAGATGTGTTAAATTTGAATTCAATCAAAAAAGACTATATTACTAAGTTTAATTTTAAAATTTAAATTAAATTTATTTATTTTACTATTAAGCCTTAAATTCATTTTTATAAAAAAATTTCATTTGAAAATGTCATTGTGTGTATAAAATATAATAATATACCTACTAAAGCTTTAAGTACCCACAACTAATATTTTTAAATTTCAAAAAAATAACTAAAATCGTTATTTTTATAATTTTAATATATAATTTCGTCCATATTTGAATTTAAAATGTCTGTAAAAATAACTGAGTTTGTATATTTTTTAGATATTTTAGTTACAGTATAAACTATTTATGTGAATCCTTGTTTTAACTTTTTAATTCTTAACTATAAAAATAGAACATTTTATAAATTTTTAAGTAATCAAATTAAATACCCTAAATTATTATTTTGATTTTTGTTTAATTTGAATTATTTACATTCAGAAATCAAAACCTGTTGTTTTTCTAATTTTATCTATATTAAAATGTATGCGTATGAATTTTATAAAATATAATCCATATAGGTTCTTGAATTTTAAGTATGAACATTGAATACCTCTGCAACTCTTAAGTATACTCTGTTCGAAATAAGAAAAATAAATATGGCTGAGACCAGTTTTTGTGGGCTGCAGTCAAGAAAAATAAATACTTTTTAAACCTAAAAATCATTATAATGCTAACTTGGTCCAATGTCACAATGGTACAACAATAAATACTGGTCAGTCCATCAAACTATCAATAGTATCATTACACCAATATCAATTACTCTACTGCATATTTTATGATCTAAAATTTATATTGACTTCAAAATTTATTTAGAAAATGGCACAAAAAAAAATAAATCTACCAGTGGCAGTTCCTTGGAAGGGAGCTATGGGGACTGAAGCCATAGATACTATTTCAAATATTCTCATTTATATTAGTTAATACTTAATTTGCAAAAATATGTTATGCTTTATGGTTATAATAGTACCAACAATACTTTGTGTAGGTACCTAGTTTTTCACTTATATTTATACACACGTACGAGTATTTAATTTACAGCTTTAGGACCTTCTTCGATAGAGGTATATTTTAGATTCTGAATGGATCGAGGAAACTAGTGGTTTTACAATGATGTTTATTTTATTTTTTATCCTGTAAACAAAATTCTACCAGAAGAAGTGCTTCGATTTCAACATAATATAGTATCTTATATTTTATCAAATTGGTTCAAGGTAGTACTTTAGAGGTAATTTTTCGATTTTCTGAATAGTTTTTTAACGCTACTGGAAAAACCACCAAAATACCCTATTGCTGAGCCATTCTTTTTTTCTAACGCCTAGTTTATCACCATAGAATGGAATAAAATTTTAAAATAACTGCTAAAAACGGTTACACTGATCCTTCGGTCAGAATCGTTTTTTTATCGAATGCAATTATTGTATTCAAATTTATTGTATTTCAAATTTTTAATAATACACTATCCTGTCCAAGGACTGAAGGCATGATGGACAGGACTTCCACCACCGATGACCTACTCCTACTGGTGCTGCACTTACCCGCTTCTTTAATATTTTTTTTTTCAAAGGGTTGTTGTTTAGCACATATTTTTGAAACAACAAATACCCAGTGTTTACTGTGTAGTTAATTTCAAATTATTTAAGAAATTGAGTTTTAAGCCATCAATGAGTATTTAAAACTTATGTTACAGAACACCAAAACTAACAATGGAAAAAAAAAATTGTGGCGTTCATTAAAGCAAATAACAGCTCAAGAAAGAAGTTTACCCTGGCCTGATAACTCGGTTAATTGTAAATAAACCTTATTACAGCTTTATACCTCATATTTTATTTCTATGATTTTTGTTCACAGATAGCAGTATTTCTGCTCCCCCGTCATTCAAACCAGCCAAAAAATATTCAGATATCAGTGGATTAATTGTAATAATAATAAAATGTTTATCTATAAATACTCTCAAGTAACATGTTTTTTTTTTTTTTTTAAGGCTAAATATAAAGATCCCCAAACATCTTTATACTATGCCGGACATGAAGAATTCAGTACCGTAAGAAATTTGCCTAGTGATATTATTACTGGATATCTAACTTTACGAGGATCATATAATCCTATTGGATAATATTATTATAGTCGATACAATACTTTAACTTGAAATACGACTTATAAATAAAATTAATAAATATATTGGTAACCGTAAAATGTGTATTATGATATTGAATCATTAAATAATAATGAACTTTATAATCAATGTTTATTAATGACTTAATCAACTTTATCTCATTTTGCCGCTTATGTTTTCCATCGCATTAGCTGTAAGTCGCATAAAGCTTACTCTCTATAGACTATAGAGGTGTAGTAAACCGCCTTCCAATATTTTAAATATCATAAGTTTATACTTACGATATAACAACAACAATACTATAAATCTTGTGGACTATTTCTTAGAATTACGAACAATGTACAAACCACGAGTTTGACGTATTACGTTAAGGAGCCTTGTATTACATTTTTACACTTTTTGCCCAACAGATAAAACTTTATTGATATTCACAGAAAAAAAAACTAAAAAAATTTAAAAATGAAAATATCCGTAAACAGCTCAAAAAGAGTCAAAATATTTTCAAAATTGTATGGTGTATAGGAAATGCTAATATAAACATTCAGTGAAATTTTCATGTATCTATTGGGAATTAGAGTTCCGGGCGGCGCATTCAAAATGGCCCCGGCAACTGGGCAGTCAAAAATTAACTACCTATATACTATGTATTTACGTATATCGATTAATTTACATAAAAAAGTAAAAAGTTCATATAAATTGTTTTTAATATATTTTTATGATTAAAAAGTTGTAATAATATTATGTATTATGTATGCTGTATACTCATATATATAATATTATATTTATCAACTTAAAATATGAAGTAAATATATCAAGGTATAATACCTACTAACAATCTCAATTATTAATTAATATTTGGCATTTCATTATAATGTACAAAATAGTACCTTATAACTAGGGTAAAGAGTAAAGATCACAATTTGTATATATTCAATGGTATAAACATACACTTTAAATATTATCATGGGGTTTAGAAACTAAAAATAATTTTTTTCAAAAGAAACTGATAAACAATATTATTATACGTAGTGAATAGTTAACAGATTAGTATTATAATCCATAGAGAACATTGATTAAATTAATTTTTTATTATTATTTTATGTAATAAGATTTTTATGAAAGATAATAGATTATTTAATGTTTAATATTTTATGGTTATCTTTTTATTAACAACTACAATTTGGTCATTTTTCTTATAATTAATATTTAGACATTCATTACTAACATAATATAAAAATGGATAGAATTTCTTTGGCGGATATTTATACTTTTTGTAGTGCTACTCCGAACACACGAAATATGGTTGAAGGAGAAAATATCTTAAATAGTGGACATCTAATAAATTGTGGATATATTAGTAAAGATTTAAAGGAAATTAATATATTAGGTATGTGTTTACAAACTTCAGCAATAAGGGATAAACCACATAATATAACTGGAAGCTTACAATTAAATGAAAATGGTTTAAAAGTAACAAAAATATCATGTACATGCAAAGCCGGAAATAGTCAAAAGTGCAAACATATTGTGTCAACATTACTTTATCTGAACAGGTTAGTGTTAGCTTGGTGACATTTTGACCAGTTTTTTAAATACCAAACAACTTACTTTATTGTTTAATTTTTATTTGTGGATCTATTTATAATTTATTCAGGAATGGGATTAGTTCATTAGAACCTATTTCTCAAACTGATTTAAAGTGTTCTTGGAGTGGACATTATTTGGACGAGGTGAAAATTTAGCGCCGCTATTTTCCATTATGTTTTATTTAATAGTTTATAAGTACCTAATATTGTCGGTTAATATAAAATTTAAATATATAGACATTCGTATTTTGTATTATGAATATTAATTATAATAATTAATAATAAAACACGTAAATAAAATGAACCATAAGCCTATGAAAGAAACAACACATTCATTCACTCTTATAATAAAATAACAATAACACCGAAGTTGCCCAGTTGCACTAGTTACAAATTATAGTACAAACTAGTACAATTTATACCACCAGAGCGCGATCAATCTTTGAGATTCCTCAATAGTTATTCGTTTATGAATTACAACAAAATAAGGAAATCGCTACATGAGAAATCGAGTGAATATCCAATGTTGTAAAAATTTGAATTTCAAACCCTCATAAAAATTTAATTTGACTTTCTTATAGAATTTTTTTTTTTTGATAAATGTAGGAAATCTTATAAGGAATCTTGCATTACATTTTCATATCTTAGATTTAAAAAGAAAAATTTTTATGAATTTCTAACTCGAAATAATTTGCAAATTTTCGTGATTTTTCCATATTCTGTAATTTTTTGAACTTAAAATGCTTAAAAAAAAACTGTGACTAACGATTTTTAATATTTTTATCTGTCTTTGAAACAATATAGTAGGAGCCATGTATTAAATTTTCAAGTATTTTTACTCAACAAATAAATTTTTATTGATATTCATAAAAAAAATAAATTAATAAAATTGGAAACTGAAAATGTCCCTAAACAGTTCAAAATAAATCAAAATATTTTGAAAATGTTATCGTGTATAGAAAATGCAAATATAAACAACCACTGAAAATTTCATGTACCTATCTAGGTACGGTCATTTGTTTTAAAGTTACACCAAAAACCAAAATCGATTTTCTCGAAAACAGATTTTGCATAAAAATTCCAGCTTTTCCTTAATTTTTCTTTTGTTTTTCCCGGCGCTTTTGAAAACTACTGGAAAATTTAAATTTTGACCTCCCCAATGCACCAACGATATTCACTTTCCAATCGAACAAGATACTGAAGTTGAAAATCAAAGCATTATTTCGACTACCTACTTATCGTGTACACAGACACAAAAAAAAATAAAAATAAAAATAAAAAAACATACATCATTGTAAAATCAATACATTCATCGTTCCACTCAGAATCTAAAATTAAAAATAAAAACACACATTGTTAAATCAATACATTCATTATTAAACCCAGAATCTAAAAGTAAAACACATTAAAAAAAGAAAGTATTTGGAAGTACCTATCTGTACCTAAATACTTTTTTAAAAGTATTTGTATTTTTAATACTTTTTTTCCCAAGTAGGTATTCAGATACATATTTTAAATACTTTTGAAAATAAGTATCTGTATCTGTACTTGAATACTTTTTAAAAGTATTTTTTTCAAGACAGTCTGTTATAAATGTATCAACGTTTTAATAAACTTACTTTAAACAATTTGAAGTTTCTTGATTATAAAAACTAAATTCATAGTTTTTAATTCAAGTTTACCACTTGAGGGTGTCAAAGGACTATAATTTATTGTATCCACTAATACACTAATCTACGACTACATAATAATATAGTTATTTTCACAATAACGAATAATTGTATTATTATAATTAATAAATATGGCAAGATATTCGAGTCTGTCCAGTGAGTGAAATTGCAGTTTGGTCACAGAATATAATAATTTGGCATTGTGTCTAGTGCGAGTTTATTATCATATACAGAATAACCAGAAGGTTAACTTTTCTAGAATTACACGGGTTCTTATGGGGGATAGATTTGCTATAGGAACCTGTTGGGATTCACTGTAGCCTGTATTGAGATAATAACAAATTGTACAACCACAGAATATTATGTGATACCGCCATTACATTATTCAAATGTTTAATTTGAAAATTAAAAATATTTGCTTTTTTAAACAAATTTATTTTTATATTTTAATAATATACCTTTTACCTACCTATAAATAAAGAGATTGTTATAATAATTAATAAAAGTAAAATATCATGAAATGTGTAAAGCTTGTAACTTACTGATTGTAATATTATTAAAAAAATTAATTTTGATAAATTGCTTGTGTTATACATGGCTGTTACGTTATTAAGAAAAAGTACCTAATACGACAATTTGGATTAGAATAAATTAAAGTAACGTATCTATCTGTACTTAAGATGAAAATTTTATTTATAATTGAGTAAATTAAATTTAAGGTCTAAATTAAAACATTTCTTATAATTAAGAGTATGATAATTTGTAATGCAATTAACAGTATCTAAATGCTAACTTCCATAATTATTTAAAAAACGTAATAATTTGTTTTTAAAATATAGTCATTTCTATTTCCTGAAAAGTTTGCATTTGGTTGATCCTAATTTAATGCTTAGCTATAAAAGTTGAACATTTTATACATTTTTAACTACAAATTAATTATTAAGCTTTCAATTCGATAAATGTTGTCAAAATGTGAGCTTTATATGCTTATAAAAAAAATTGTGCCTATGTATTTTTAATATTTTTCAACTGCTATTTTAACAATACATCAGGAACCTTGCATTAAATTTTAAAGCGTTTTGACCAAATGAATAAAATTTTATTGTCATTTATAGAAAAAAAAAACTAAAACAATTGTAAACAGAATATGTTCGTAAACAGCTCAAAACAAGTAAAAATATGATAAACATATGATATCAATTTCGAGTGTCTACGGTTATTCATTTTCGAATTACTTACAACAAAACAAGAAAATCGCTAGGTACATGAGAAATCGAGTAAAAATATGAACTTCAAACTCTCATAAAAATTTAATTTAACTTTCTTGTAGACATTTTTTTTGTTGATTAATAACTTATGTCGAATTTTGTATTACATTTTCATATCTTATAGATTTAAAAATAAATTTTTTTTGGATTTCTAATACAAAATAATTTACACATTTCGGTGAATATTACGTAAGATTTCAATTTGAAATGCTTATAAAACAAAATTGTGACAATGGATTTTAAATATTTTTCAACTGCCATTGTAACAATATATTAGGAGCCTTGTATTTTTTCCCTTCTTTACCCAACATTAAATATGTATATTGTTATTTATAGAAAAAAAAAACTAAAAGAAATTGAAAACTGACAATGTTCGTAAACAGCTCAAAGAGTCAAAATATTTTCAAAATGTTATGGTGTATAGAAAATGAAAATATAAACATTCAGTAAAATGTTCATGTATCTACAGTTATTCG